TCCTCTAGAAAAACATCTGGAAACTCACGCACTATAGGAACCTCCTCCACCGACCTCGGCCTCCCGGAATCAACTCGCGTATCTGACACGTACGCCACAAAACCCTTGCAGCCCTGCTGTAAACACTGCCTCACCCTAGCGACCGAACAAAATGCTGATCCAGAACGGGTACCCTCGCCGTACACTGTAAGAACTCCCCCACTAGGGTCTCGTATGGTCACTAGCTGTCGCTCGCAGTCGATAACCGCACCGAACTTGCTCAACCAGTCCATGCCCACGATGACACAAACATCCCCCATGGCAATAGGAACCAAATCAATCGGGAACTCAACACTGAAAATCTCAAGTACACACCCACTGATCACCTCCGTGGCATATATCGCCTTCTCGTCAGCTATAGAAACTCTTAGAGGCCGACTCAGCGCCTCGTGACTAATACTGATGTGCTGACTAAAAGCCAAAGATACAAAGGACCGACTCGCGCCCGAGTCAAATAATACCAAGGCAGGTACAGAATTCACAAGAAAAGTACCTACGCATAACATAATATAAGCATAATATTTCAACATTATAATAAATACACGAAAGAATACATACCAGCCACGACATCAGGCGCTGCACGGACCTCTTCCACGGTCAACTGAAATGCTCTCCCACGTGCCCTCGGTGCCTCGGACTTCACTGGCCCACTCCCGGTAGCTCTGATGGCGGCAGGGGCAGATCCCTGAGGTGCTCCCTGAGCTGATCCCCGCAACTGCGGACACTCCGCCTTCCGGTGTCCGGTCTGGTTGCAGTGAAAACATACTGCAAACCCCTTGGGGCAGTCCTTGGCCATATGCCCCTCCTTGCCACATTTGTAGCAAGATCCCGCTCTACACACTCCATCATGACCCTTGCCGCACTTTCCACAAGTGCGGCCCTTCTGGCTCCCTGATTTGGGATCAGCGGGCTTGGCCCGCTTGGCTGCTGGCTGGAATTGTACCGGTCGACGATCCCTACCATGAGACTCAACCTCCTCCCTAGCCTGGGTCTCCAACTCAATCTCCCTCTTCCGGGCATTTGCCTGAAGCTCGGAAAATGTCCGGTATGAGGAGTTCGTGGCGAACTCCCGAATGTCCCGTCTCAAAATACTCAAATATCGACTCATACGTGCCTGCTCAGTGGACACGTGCTCAGGGCAGAACATCGCCCTCTCGTGAAACATCCTGGTGATCACTGTAACAGACTCAGTACCCTGCTTGAGGGTCAGAAACTCCTGGGCCAACCGCTCCCGCTCCACCTGGGGAACATACTCATCTCGGAACATGGCAGTGAACCTCTCCCAGGTCACTGCCACAAGCTCAGCAGGCGAAAAGTGTGCTGTGACAAACTTCCACCAGTCCTTCGCTCCCAAGCGAAGCTGGTTCAGCACGAACCGTACTCTCAGATGCTCAGGAGATGAGCAAGTGAAGAAACACCCCTCTATGTCAGAAATCCATCTCATGGCCGCCACCGGATCCTGGGTCCCATCAAACTCCGGTGGTTTCGTGTTGCTGAACTCCCGGAACAGCAACGCGTCACCACCCTGCGGCCTAGCAGCAGCAACAGCTGCAGTGGCCGCTGCAACCGCAGCCTCAGAAAGAGCGGCATAACGCTCGTCGAAAGTCTCGATCAGTGCAGTCTTAATAGACCCGAACATCTCTGGTATCTCTGCTCTGATGACTGCAGCCACCTCCTCATGAATGATCTGTCGGATCTCCTCATCACTAGCCCCGACACCCTCCGGCATATGACGTTTCCTCACCATGATCAACCTCTGAAATACAACATACGATAAATTAGAATCCGCTCGAGCATACTCACACTCGACAACCCATCCCTCCTTGATTCTTGGTATTCCAAAGATTCTTAGTTGGATCGTGCACCGCCCCGGTGCTTTCAGTAGTACGGGCCCAATACTACTGTCCACACCGTCTCAGTGCACACCCCAAATCCTCCTCTTCGGATCCCAATTTCCAAGTACTCTATCACTCTCTAACCGATCTCTCATAAGCTCCTCGCTACTACCTATTCGCTCTCAAGCATCTCATAGCAGCTCACATCTCCCTAGGCTAAGGCATCACAAATCAGGGCACTCTAGTCCTAATAATAATACCTAGCCTACTCTAACAAGAGAATACACCATAAACATATAATATAAGGGTATTTTGGGAAATCACCGTTCGGGTGCTGACTGATCATACACACGTTTCTTCCTTGAATTTCTCTAAAAATCTTTTACTCTTAGAAAAGTTAAATTTTCTTTTGAAAATATTTTTCCGAATCCTCAGTTTGAGTTCAAATACTCCCGAAGGTGTACCCGAATCCCTCAAACCAAGGCTCTGATACCAAATTGTAACACCGTAAATTTCAAACAATTTTTTTTTTCAATTTTTCGTGAAACATAATTCATTTAATATTCATAAAACAACCATATTAATTATCCAATTCAAGTAAGTACAAAATCCCGAGATCACAAATGTATAAACTCCGTGAGTGTGTACGGATCAAGTCGGTGCCTTCCCGTGGTCGTCACTAGTACCTGAAACAATAACATCAAACACTGTAAGCACAAAGCTTAGTGAGTTCCCCAAAATACCATATATAACACATATTAGCCACTCGAGGCTATAACTCTGTGGGTCCGTGCACCCAAACTCTGTGAACCCTCAGGTTCTAACTCTGTAAACATGCACAGCATAAATCACATAGAAATAATGCAGTACAACACATAACATACATAGCATACAAACACTCTATCACATAACTCTGGTTACCTACTCAAGGTAAAGTATAGTGAGAAGACTCACCTCGTGTATCGGTAAGTCGTGAATCCTGAAATCACTAGTGCTCGATCCCCCGAGCTAAAGTCCTCCTATATCACAATACATCTCTAATTAACACTTTCCCAACTAAGGTTGACTACTCTTTAACAAGTCAACTTAGGTCAACGGTCAATGGTCAACTTTGACCGGACTCGGCGAGTGCACAATAGCGACTCGGCGAGTCTGAGCGTATACACTGATTTCCCTGAAATCCTCCCTCGACACGTCGAGATCCTCCTAACTCGACGAGTTCCACCTGGCATGAGTTGTGGGGCCACCACGACTCAACTCGTCAGTCTCAAGAACAACTCGGCGAGTCCAGCTTGACTCAGTCCACCTGTCCACTCAGACTTCCCCCTGACTCACTGAGTCAACCCTCCCAACTCGGCAAGACCACTCGCAGTGTGGTCGGGCAACATTCATACTACTCGCCGAGTCTGTTCTTCGGACTCGGCGAGTCCGTGCCATGCAATGACTCAAACTTGCTCATAAGGTCAGATCCAGTCCATTAACCCATAGATCCAGTCCTTCCAAGCATATTTAGCACGTAAAGTCACTATCTTGATGCACATACAATCTCTATATGACCATAAATGATGTTTTTGTCTCAAATACTACAACCCAAGGTCATAAACTCCATTGCTAAACATAAAGCTTGAAGAATGAGGCTCTTTGGACCTCTATGGATCCAGATCCAGAGCCTCAACACAAGAAGGGAACTATTTGGCATCAAATCATCCCATAAATGTCCATAAGAAACCCTAGATCCCATTATTCATCACAAAACAGAAAGTAATCCGAAATCATACCTCTAGATTGATGATCTAAGCTTCAAATCCACAGAATAGCAACCTCCTTTGCTTCCTCTTGCTTGGAATCTTCTCCTTCTTTGCTAAATGACACACACAAGGGTCAAGAATGCTTCCTTTCTCTCTCAAAACGTTCAAGCACACAAGGGTTTCTCTCTAGGGGTTGGGTGAGAACAAATGACGGCCATAAGGCCCTTTAAATAGGCCGCAAACCCCGGAAATTAGGGTTTCACCACACAGCGTGGACTCGCCGAGTCCACTTTTGGACTCGTCGAGTCCGGACGCGAACTCGTGCCCAAATCCGCGATCCTACTCGGCAAGTCTGGGCTCCAACTCGCCGAGTCCACTCACAATTCCATAAATAAATCCAAAATAAATACCTGAAAATTCCGGGCTGTTACATAACTCTTGTAATAAAAGATTTAGGGTAAAAGATTGCACCGATGAACCTACTATAAACTTCCTTCATATCCATGCCACTTTCAGAGGTATGAATACTCCACATTGTGGGTTGGAACATATTGATTAGCTTGTTTTTTCTTCCCAAATTACTATGATCTCAAGCTTTTAGCAAGGGTAGATGATCAGATGGACGAATGTTACAAAAACTTAATGAGGTTTTCTTAGGTTGACGATCCACAACGTTTTTTAGAAGTGATGGTTAACATTAAAGTCTCAATTAATGCATGATTATGGCGGCAAGTCATTAGGTGCCAAGGCACGAAGCGAAAAGTTAGTTTTACCCTTACGTGATGGCCACATGCCCTTCATTAATGGTAGAAACTTAATGGGAGTTAGGCTCAAACGAAGCGAAAAGTTAGTTTTACCCTTACGTGAGAGCCACATGCCCTTCATTAATGGTAGAAACTTAATGGGAGTTAGGCTCAAACGAAGCGAAAAGTTAGTTTTACCCTTACGTGAGAGCCACATGCCCTTCATTAATGGTAGAAACTTAATGGGAGTTAGGCTCAAGGACCTCCGATGCAAGATTTGAAACCATAAGGATTACCTTGATCAATTTTACACTACAGTCAACCACAAGGACCAAATATGTAATTTATAAAGAAAAAATATAAAATAAAACAACTTGGTCAGATTTGGGACAAGTGTGACGTGGCCAAAAGCAAATTTCCAATTCGGAGGGATCGCCGCTGCGCTCCAATCCGCTTCATTTGTAGGTCGTAAGACCATAATCACCGGCGGCGCTTGGCGGAACTAAAACCTCCCACCGGTTATCACTGTCCATTACGAGCTATAACTACGAAACAAGAAAACCAACAAAAACCCGGATGAAGTTTACAAGGAACAAGAAACCATCATTCTCCTAACATGGTGTCTTTCTTTTGCAATGCCCTCTCTCAAACCCACCAACTATAATCAAATTCAACATCCTTGTGTGATCCAATCGGTACATAATTTATGCTCGAAAGGACGCCTCAAGGAAGCAGTGCAATCGCTCGAAAATTTAGCAAGTAAAGGTCTACGTTTGGACACGAGATCTTTAGCTCTTCTTTTGCAACAGTGTGCGAATTACAGATCACTTAAAGAAGGAAAATGGGTTCATTTGCATATGAATGTTACGGGTCGGAAGAGACCCGGTACGTTCTTGTCCAATCAACTAATTTACATGTATTCAGAGTGTGGGAATTGGGTTTGTGCACGGAAGGTGTTTGATAAAATGTCTATCAAAAATTTGTATTCTTGGAACAACATGCTATCGGGGTATGCTAAGTTAAGGATGATGAAACCAGCTCAGTCCTTGTTTAACCAAATGCAGGAGAAGGATGTTGTGTCATGGAATACAATGGTCATCGGCTATGCACACACCGGGCATTATAACAAGGCATTGAAGCTCTTTAAAGATTTGAGAATGTCAAACATTAGGCTAAACGAGTTCAGTTTTTCAGGTCTCTTAACCGTTTGCATCCAAACAAAAGAGTTAAAACTCACAAAACAAGTCCATTGTCAGGTATTTCATCTTGGTTTCTTATCAAATATAGTACTTTGTAGTTCAATCATCGACAGCTATTCAAAATGTGGTGAGATTCACAATGCAAGGAACCTGTTCGATGAAATGCCTAAAAGAGACGTTCTTGCTTGGACCACTATAGTTTCAGCATACGCAAAGTCAGGTGACATGAAATCAGCTAACGAGTTATTCAACATCATGCCAAACAAAAATCCCATATCTTGGACCTCACTAATTTCAGGATACACAAGAAACGGTTTCCCATATGAAGCACTTAACCTCTTCACAAAGATGATATCACAAAAAGTCACCCCAAATCAGTTCACTTTCAGCAGCGCCCTATGTGCTTCTGCTAGCCTCACTTCAATCAAAATCGGTAAACAAATCCATGGATTCTTGATAAAATCACATCTCACACCAAACACTATAGTTCTTAGCTCCCTAATCGACATGTATTCCAAATGTGGAAGTTTACAACTTAGTCAAATAGTTTTCAATCTTGTCACTGATACACGCAACACAATTCTCTGGAACACAATGTTATCAGCTTTATCTCAACATGGTCATGGAAAACAATCTTTAGAGCTTTTCTCCAACATGGTGAGATCAAAAGTAAAACCAGATAGGATTACATTTGTCATACTTTTAAGTTCTTGTAGTCATTCGGGACTTGTTCAAGAGGGTGTTAATCTTTTCAACAATATGATTCAAGATCATGGGATTAGTCCTGATGAAGAACACTATGCGTGTTTGATTGATCTTTTGGGGAGAGGAGGGTGTTTTGATGAAGTGGTGAATTGTTTACAGAAGATGAAAGTAGAACCTGATGTCCGAGTTTGGAAAGCTTTACTTGGAGTTTGTAGGATTCATGGGAATATGGAATTGGGGATAAAAGCTGGTGAAAAGTTGATTGAATTGGAACCTGATTCTTCAGTTGGGTATGTTTTGCTTTCAGGGATATATGCGATTTCAGGGAAGTGGGATTTGGTGGGAAAAGTGAGGAAGATTATGAAGGAAAGAGGTGTGAGGAAAGAATTAGGGTTTAGTTGGTTGGAAAATGAGAAAAAGTTTCATGCTTTTAGTGTATCGGATAAGTTGAATGGTTTTGAAGGTGAGGTTGAATCGGTTTTGGAGATTTTAGCTTCTGAAATGGAAGAAGATGATGATGAATCTTTTCGTGATAGTTGAAGGTAATGTTTCAATGTTTGTTTTTGATTTCTTTTTGATATGAAGAATGAGATGGATTGATGTATTTTTTGTTGAATAATTGAAGAGTGAATTAGAAAGAGGGATAAAGTTCATAGATTTGTAGGATGAATGAGTTGATGTTAAAGTACAACATTGTACTTTGAAATTTTTTGTTATTAAGACATAGTACTTTGAAAAGCTAACCAACTATAGCATTTTGTACTATTCAATTATTTTGTGTTACAATATTATGCTTAAAAAGTTCTATCCAATTATAATCATGAAAGTATGTTGTTATTTCTTGCATTTAGCCTATCATGAGGTAACGATGTAGGCATGGTTTAATGGTTTATGGTTTGAGTTGTTTTGTTGTCTTGTGTTCATTTGTGTTTTAGGGGGTGTTTGGATGTGTGTTTTCTACTTTATTATCCGATTATTTCTATTACAATTTGCAAATAATTAGTTTCATGTAGGGGCAGATTGTGGGAAATAGACATACTTTGTTTTTTGGCGAGATGGACCATGATTGCAACAATTACAATTTTCTACCAATTTAGGCAAAAATATAACCTACAAACTTGAAAATGATAATGTTGTGTGACATCGATTGTTGTGTAAGGAATTAACCAACTTTTGTACATTTATGACAAAGTGACAACCTACTTCACAAGACTTATTTTTGAGAAACCATTTTCTTTAATATAATATTTGGCAAATAGTTTATGAATTACCTTTTAAACTTGCGAAACTGTTTTTTTCAACAAAACCAACAAATCGATTGTTTAGGAAAAAATTATGTTTCACAATAATTTTGCAAAATGCGATCACAAACCAGTGCTTTTGAATATTTTCCTCAAAAGAATGAGTATATTTTTAAATTTTTTATTGTGTATCAATCTGCTATAAGCTCTTTTCACGTGGCAATATTCGTCAAATGTTAAAAAGCGAAGAAGATCTAAAACTAGCACGGAGGTTGAAATGTGTAAATTCTTCTTAAGCTAAGAAGGGTCTTTATCTTGAATTTTTCTTATTCTCTTTCTCTTCCATCTTGATATCAACTTTGAAATTAACTAAGCATCGGGAGGGGAAACTTTCAATATAATGATGAGATAGACTAGCGGAGAAGGTCTCATTATGCGCTAATGTTGAAGATAGTTTCAGTCTTTCATAATAAAACCATAGTATCTTTGAAAGATAGAGTTTAATCACCTAGAAAGGGGTAAATAATGTGGACTACATGTTCACTTTTTTTCAAATAACAAATGCCCAAATACGAAATACGTGATTATTATGTTATAAATATATAAAAGTCGCGCAATTGACCATATAGCATCTTAATATTTGTAGTCACCCCTTTTGTATAGTTGTATTAACGTATTTCTTTTTTCTTCATGAATTTTGTGTTTGGGTTTCAGTTTTTTGGGTTTTGAAGAGTTTGATTAAGGTTTCAAAGTTTCTATTTTGAGTTTTCAATTTCATATTGTTTTGACAACCATTGTTTATGGGTTTCAGATCTCAAACGATATCCTCAATCTGTGGCTGGCAGGGAAAATAGTTGATAATATTTTGTAGTTAATAATCAAATTATAACCAAATGATGTTTGGCATAACGGTATTAGGTGTGTTCGAAAGATGTTCTTTCCCAATTGGTTGAGGTTTTAAGTCTCGTGGTATACAAAATATGTAGATTTACACGGAACAAAAACAATTTTCGATATTTATGAAAAATATTTTCTATATTGATAGAAAATGTGCAAAAATATATTATATATATATATATATATATATATATATATATATATATATATATATATATATATATATATATATATAAATTTTCTTGTTTAAATTTAAAATATATTTAATAATATATAAAAGTGACTTGATTCAATTGGTTAACTAGTTTTCCTAAAAGCTCGAGCTCAACTCGAGGAAGATTAGAGCTCAATTTGAAAGATAAGGCTAGAGGGTGTGGCCGCTGTTTGGGCCGCGGTTTGTGCCACCTCAACCGCGCACACCACTCCCAAGCTGCGGTTTTGTGCGGTTTTTGCCTCACTACGGCTCGAGAGGACCGCGACTCGTGATTGAGTGTTGAATGTTTGACTGTTGAACGGTCCTCTTTGCTCATTAATTTTTTTCTTCCTTTTTCCCTTTCTTTCCTATATATACACATACATTTCTTTTTTTTCTCAAACATCACAAACCCTTCTCTCTCAAATTTATTAAAAAAAATCATCAATCTCTCTCAAAAAATGTCATCTTCTGAAGAATTTCAGATTATTTTTGATGTCGTTGTTGCGTGTGCTCAAATGGTGGGAACAAACATACGATGATTTATGCAATAACGCAGCTGAAAGTTCCCAACGAAGAACACAAAGTTTTATTTTTAGAAATCGTGAAGAAGCCAACCAACATTTGGTACAAGACTATTTTCAAGAGAATGTCACTTATCAAATGTACTATTTTCGTAGGCGCTTCAGAATGTTCAAAGGTTTATACGAACGTATAGTTGAAGATGTAACGAAGGAATGCAATTTTTTTCAACAACGCTATGATGTTAAAGGTACACCCGATTTCACTCCCTTACAAAAATGCACGGCCGCACTTCGTCAGTTAGCATATAGCATTCCGTCTGATGCGTTAGACGAAAGTTTTAGGATGTTTGCTAGGACCGCACGAGACAGTCTCCACTATTTCTGCAAAATTGTGATTCAGTTTTATGGTCCAAAATAATTATGTTAGCCTATACGTAATGACATCTTGCAATTGCAAGCTCATCATGCTAGTGTGCATGGGTTACTTGGAATGCTAGGAAGCTTAGATTGTCTCCATTGACATGGGAAAATTGTCCTACGTCATATCATGAACAATTTACCCGAGGTGATCATGATCACCCAACGATTATACTTGAAGCAGTTGCATCACAAGATCTGTGGATTTGACATGCTTTTTTTGGTTTCCCTGGTTCAATTAACGAAATCAACGTTCTTAACCGTTCACCTATATTTAACAACATATATGATGGATCTGCACCAGATTCTTCTTTTGAAGTGCGTGGAACGTCATATAAGTATGGTTATTATCTGGTCGATGGAATCTATCCTGAGTACGTTGTGTTTGTTAAATCGTTTACGTGTCCACATGATTCTAGACAAAGAAAATTCAAGAGAGCTCAAGAAAGAGCTAGGAAGGATGTTGAGCGGGCTTTTGGAGCTCTAAAGAAACGGTGGTTCATATTGAAAAAATCAACAGTTAATTTAGGCAAGGAAAATTTTCAAGAAATCATGTATACATGTCTCATACTGGATAACATGATTATTGAAGACAAAGGAAAAACGATATGTGCGTTTGACAAGGAAGAAACCATACCAGAGACACAACCAATAGAAATTGGTGGCAAAGAGTATATGAACAGAAGAGTAGAGATACGTTGCACTGAAACATTTCACAATCTTCGCAATGACTTGGTGGAACACATTTACAAGGTTCAAAACATTAACCTTAATTTGGATCCACCGAATGACTCCGAAGACAAGTTCTCGGAGAGCGGCTTTATGTAGTTTGCTTTAGTTATTTTATTTGTGTTTTTTTAAGTTTCTAGGATTATGTTAATATCATGTGTGTTATTTTATTTTATTTTGTAATGCAATGTAATGTTTTTTGAATTTTCAATGTAATGTTTTTTTTTAATTTTCAAGTAATGAAAAATTATGGTTTTTAATAAAAAAGAAGTTTTATTAAATTAAAATACTTCAAAAAAATAAATAAATAAATAAAAGTGTGGCATCACTCCTTGGTGTAGCAAGAAACCACACTTGTGTGGTAAAAAATAACGTGGCACACATGTGGCGGTGAAGGGAGTGCGATTTCGGTGGCACCACTCCCTCCGGCCTAATAGTTCGAACCTATCTATCAAAACATTTACTAAAGGACAAAATCTGGAATAACTTGAAAAAAAATTTCAACAAATCAAGTTTGATATAAGTTCAACCCAAAAATATGAAAACATATACAAAGCTCAATAAGAATTATAGTCGAATCCTTATAAGTTATAAACTCAAGTTGACTCACTATATGTTTCAAACTCATTTTCTATGCTCAACTCCTCAAACGAGCTCAGCTAGAATTTGAGCTCTAATACTAAAAAAACTTGATTGGATTGCAACCCTAGACTTGTCCTCCCATGAAGGTGGACAATAATGAAAATTGATTAGACAACATATACCATTAGTACAACTCAAAATGATGTTATTGGATTTATGGTTGCAAACAAATGATTAAGAGATAGAAGTAGAACTATAATCCCATACAATGGCGTATATTGCACTTGCACGACAATGAGTCGGAATCAATAGATCACATCTTTTTTGCATTGTTGAATATAAAAATAATTTGGAAGGTGACAATGCTCTCAATTGGTGTGAAGGTTTGATGTGGGAAGTCTATTGGCGGATCCAGAACGAAATACAAAAAATACATTGAAGTATAAAATTCTGAAAATTTAATGTATTTTTGGGGTTTTTGAGTAAAAAAATGCCAATGATGGTATTTAAAGTATAAGTGGGTGCCAAAGAGGGGGGGGTTTTAGTAAAAGTCAGATTTTTTGGAGGGCTAGTAGTAAATATGGTGAGACCCACCTCCAATTGGGGTCCATGCACCCCACTTAAAGGGGCTGGATCCGCTACTGGTCTATGGTTGTTAGGGGGCGTTGGATCCATCAACATATTGTTGATATATGTTTGGAGAGTGAAGATATTGTACTAATTGGAACAAAATAGTACAGACATAAATAAATATTATCTTTTGGAGATTGACATTAAACAGGATTCCGATAATTTGGTCTCAGACTTACACTCTCTTCTTTGCCCGGTTTGTTAATGTGTCAATGAAAACATTAATCACTTGTTTTTAACTTGTGATGTGGCTAACCAAACTTGGGAAAGATTTTTAAATGGCCAGATCTTCTTTCTCAAATTTGATAGCTTCGGTGGATGGCTTGGGAATATCAGCTTGGAAAAAGAAGGCCGTTGAGGTGATTGTTTATGGGACTTTTGGGGTGTTGTGGTTTTATTGCAATAATGTTGTTTTAGCAACCATTTCCTTCCCCAAAGCCTCATCTTTGAGTGTATTGTTCTTTATTCCTTTGTTTTAAGAGTAGGAACCATAAATTTATCCTCTTTATTAAAAACCTGATTATAAGTGTCTTTTGTAATTCTTTTTATTTGCATGTGTATAATGTATTCATACGTATATGTATATGTATGTGTATTTATGTATACCTAATATATATACACATACAGAAAAACCTAATGTCATATACTCCTATTACTTTGGAAATTTGACATTTTCCCAAAGCACCAACCACACACATTTTCAAAACAAATAGATTTTACCTCCCAACCAATGATCCAATCATCCAATTTCAAACATCAACTTTCAACTCCCCCGTAAGCAAATCATCAACAAAATGTAATAATTTCCACAAGAAAGATAACCAAAAACATTCCAAATCACAAATTTAGGGTTACAAAAAATGTACCCTAATGACTTTCCTAATCATTTCCATCCTTATATAGCAATGGGCCCCAAATGGTCTAAACAAATCGAACGTCGAAGAGCGGTTGTATCAGAACGAAAAAAACTACGAAAACTCAAAAAAGAAAACGGATGCGATTACCCGGGATGCGATATCCATCCAGCCGATAGGAAAAACTGGATGTCCGGCCTGAATCCCGCCAAACTTCCGATTAACAAAATCGTCTGGCCCGGGACCCACGATTCCGCCACCGACAAGATCGGAATAAGAGCCATAACCCGACCCTTCGCCCAATGCCAGTCTCTATCCATCTACCAACAACTCGTACGTGGGACCCGCGTCCTCGATATCCGAGTCGAGAAGAACGGAAAAGTTTGTCACGGAATCATAACGACATATGGAATCGACGTTGTGCTTGACGATGTTAAGCGATTCCTTTCGGAGACGGAATCAGAAATCGTGATTCTAGAGATTCGGACGGAATACGGACGGAAAGATCCACCCGCGTTTGAGAATTTTTTATTGGAGAATCTCGGGGAGTTGTTGATTTATCAGGACGACTGTGTTTTTGAGAAAACGATTGCAGAGATTTTACCAAAACGGGTGATTTGTGTTTGGAAGCCTCGGGAATCACCCGAGGTGAAACCCGGGGGCCCGTTTTGGAGCTCAGGGTATTTGAAAGATAATTGGATTAATACGGATTTACCTTTTACAAAATTTCAAAGTAATTTGAAGTATTTGAGTCAACAACAACCGGTTTGTTCACGTAAGTATTTTTATCGGGTCGAGAATACGGTCACACCGCGGGCGGATAACCCGATTGTGTGTGTGAAAGCGGTAACGAATCGGATCCACGGGTACGGGAGATTGTTCATATCGCAATGTTTTTCGAGAGATTGTGCAAATCGGTTGCAAATATTTTCAATTGATTTTATAAATGAGGATTTTGTTGATGCGTGTGTTGGGCTTACTCAAGCCCGAATCGAAGGGAAGGCGTGAAAAAATAAAATATGGCCGGAAAAGCCACCGGAATTTTATCTCCGGCGAGATGGTGGGTGGGTGTTTTGCTTAATCTAATATGAAAAACCAAAATGACAAAAACTTGTTTATGATGTGTGCATTAATCATGATGTTTGTAAAGAGAAGGAAAATGATTAAATTATACATGATCCGAGTTTGAAAGCTTTTGTGGGCAAAATGAATTTCTCAAAGCGTCCTCCAACTTTTGGAATATCGACGAAAGTAACCCTGCAAAAAAGACACAAAGAATTACTTGCATTTATACAAGATTTATATTTTTTATTTGCACTATGTAGTAATATAGCTTTTATTTTAATTTTAATCAAATAAAATATATAATGAACACATAAAAAAACCTGGCACAGAGGTTTCTCCAGGTTTCAAAGATCCTCTAATTAAAAGAGTGCCCGGAATTTGCTCAAAGACCTAAAATAACAAAACAATTAAAAAAATATATAAATACAAAATACAAACATTTTATCGATTAACTATTTTTTCATAAAGAAAATAATAATATACTCACTGTTACGCGGAATTGTAAATCATTTGACTGGTCAACAAAGTCAATATCCTTCAAGATTTCTTTGCAATTAGACATGGCCACGTGTATCTGATTTCCATCAAATTAGTGTGTCAATCACAATGAGGCTTTCTCTAACTTTTTACCCAAAAAAAAAAAAAAAAAAAAAAAGTAAATGAACATACGTCAATATGAAAAGTGGAAGCATTTAATTTACAGGTGGCGCCATTTGTGTGGAAGAAGGATTCGATTGATTGGAGAACATGAAATGCACTAAAATTGCGTTGAATTCCCTGAAGTAATTTAAAAAAAATTATATTAATTTGAGGATAATAATTCATACAAGCTTCGAAAAATTTACAATTTTGTCCTCGATACAAATACACAGTACAATCTGTTTTGTCATGTCATGTGAAACAGGAGTTTAGAGTTTGACCTGAAGCATGAAAGTAAGGACATTTTTGGATGCCACATGAGATGATATTATTTTCTTTGATGGAGGAACAAATGACCATGCTACCCCCCACCTACATGTTTGACCTTGAACAAATTCAGTTGTTTTAACTACACTAACTCCCACCTCACGTAATTTTCCTATCAAGCTTTTCAAATTTGATTTCTTTCCAACCATTGATGTATACCACCTATTAAACATAATTACACACACAATTTATAATTAAAATAAACAAATAAATATGTCTTTCTGGATAAAGTGATTGAACAACGCATAAAGATGGTTTCTTTTTTGACTGTTTAAATATGAGAGAATGACCATTTTACCCTTGACACAAATGTACCTAAAAGACTGTTGAAGTTGAACACTATCTTCAATGATCCGAGTGATGAAAGCTTGTTCACCACCAGGGCAAACCATCTCCGCTAGGGTTCCGCCACAAGAGGTGTTTGGATTAAGCCCGGATTCCTCCATTGTTTCAAAGAAAGGAGGATTACACATACAAAAATCAAAACTTTCACCACTTTTCACCACACCCATAAGTATAGGAGGCCCATGGTAGTTCTTAATCTTATCACCATTTTTCATGTCTTTTTCAGTCAACTCTTCCTCAAAGTCAACTTTTCGAATCTCAATTAAGTTGGAAATTTGTGGGTTGTTCTTAACATTCCTCTCAGCCCATTCTAGTGCTACATCTGTCACATCTGTGTTAAAAGGGTATTTGAGTAATTTTAACAAAAAGAAAATGTTGGGAATCCAAGAAATAAAAATGTAAAGTACCTGTTCCAACAAAGCTCCAGCCAAGAAGGGATGCACCAAGAAGAGGGTAAATGCAATTGGCTCCAGTGCCAATATCAAATCCTTTAATGACAATATTGCCCTCCTGGGAATTGGGTATGATGTCTGATGATAAAAGGTCTTCAATCCAATGAATGTAGTTGGATCTGTTGGGTACTGTGGGGCAGAGTTGTCCATCAGGAATCCACCTACACTTGTAAGTTCAGGTTATTCTTTATCCATCACAGAGTGCATAACCTTAAACCCTAGGCCCTAAAATAACACAGAGAAAGTCTAAAATACCCTTCAAACAACAGATGAAAAACTATTTGTGAGCCCAATTTGTATCCTATGTGATATCAAGATGTGCAGATTGGGAATTTGAGCTTTTAAACTTGCATTCAAGCTGTTCGATTTCCGTTCAACGTATGAAAATGGAAATTGTTTCATTTTCAAAGTGCCCAAATAACCATGTTAGAATTAGCAATGAAAGATAAACAAAAACACCAAGCCAAAACTAATATATTTTTTAGGCCAAATCTATGATTTCTCAAGGATATATTACCATTTTTTGTTAACAAATCGAACCGAGGCATGTTTCTATCTTCACCAAACATGGTTAGCGGTTCTTTTAAACATAGGGTGATAATTTTGATTTCAAATCACGCACATACGAAAAAGTTGCAGAGCTTAAACCTAATTTAGCACTAGTATTAACATACCAGGTGATGGAGTGATCGTGCAGTAGCAAAACCCTGGTGAGCTCACGAGTGGCATTGAAGTCTTTCCAATCGATCCTTGGCTTGCCTTCTCGAGAGTAGAAGACATAAGGTTGAAATGAAGGATACAGTGATGCCAAAACACCGAAGTCCGGCGGGTTGTCGGAGTATTTGTTCCGGGGATGTATGCTTCCTCTCTCCCTCTTCCTCTTCTTCCCCATTTTTTGGGACTCTTTTTGGTTGCTTTTCTGATAAATATCCATTTTGGGCCCAACCGAGAGCTCGGCCCATATTATTACCGAATCAAACACGTTATACTTTTAGGAGGAAAAACGGTTAGGAACATAAGATGCGAATAATAATAATAATAATAATAATAATAATAATAATAATAATAATAATAATAATAATAATAGTAAATTACATGAATGGTCCCTATGGATAGGGGTAATTTGCGCGCTTAGTCCCTAACTTATTTATTTAACTCGAAAGGTCTTTAATGTTTGTTTTTGTTACGCGCTTGGTCCCTACTGTTTGTTTTTATTACGTGTTGGGTCCCTATTTTACCTAAAAGTATTATTATTTAAATAGAGAAAAATGATGTGGTGGATAAGATAAGGTGAAGGGGATGGGTTTGGGGGTGTATTGAGTTAAATATATTAAAAAATCAAGGGTAAAATAGTCTTTTTAAGTATGATAGGGACCAAACACGTAACAAAAACAAACAGTAAGGACCTTCCGAATTAGAAAAATAAGTTAGGGACCAAACGCGCAAATTACCCCAAACCATAGGGACCATTCATGTAATTTACTCTAATAATAATAATAATAATAATAACAATAATAATAATAATAATAATAATAATAATAATAAATAACACTAAACTTTATAGGTTATTGTATAATGTATAATTTTTCAACTAAGTAATCTATAATTCTAGAGCAAATAAAGTTCAACTTGGCAAAGTCTCGCTTGCCTCAAGGATGGACGTATGATTTCGTAGTAGGTGTTGCTGATGATATATTTTCTTTTTTACATAGTGGTATAATAATAAAACAAAAAAAAAATTCAAAAATTTCCACACTGTATCTAGAAAAAACAGAGGTTGCCGGTGACACTATGGTCACCATAGTGGAACGGCCCTACTCGCATCTATGGTGATCGAGGTTGAAGATGGGGCGAAGATGTTGTTTGAGATATTGGATTGAATCTTATTTTTGTTTTTTAGTTTCTATTTCATAAAATTGTTATCTTGATGGAAAATCTATGTGGATGCCATCTGAGCGTCATGTGGACCATATATGATGATTAAGGTGCCAAGTAGATATCAATTAGGAGGTATAACCGGCTAACCCCTTCATATTTTGTATAATGGCCTTTTTAACAAACTAGAAGTGAGTTCATGCCCCCAAAAAAACAAAAAAAAAAATATCATGAAGGAAATTTTAAACCAAAACTGATAAGTTTGTAGGATAATAGTGACATTAACCCTAAAAAAAATGATCTACCATCTTCTAAAAGTAACATTAATTGGTAACATAAAGAGTTGTTTTAGCTTTGATTTTGCTCGAAATACTTTTGTTTTTGAGATCACTACTTTTTCTTCTTTGTCAAGTAGTCTTGCTCTACTTGAAATATTGGGATAAACTTCAATTTGATTCACCAACTCCTTTGACTAAGAATGTTGAAATACAAGTTCTATTGCTCAAGTCTACAAGCATTTATGCACATTTATATATGTTTTCAACATCCACATATCGCTTTCATCGAGTCTTGAAACATTCAGAACTAAATGACATTTTTCTCTTTTGAATCTACACTTCGCCATTATTTTTTATTTTGCCTTCATTTATAATCTCATTCATTTCTTCATCTGGGACCAAACCTCAACACACATATCTCTCCTTAATCTTGTCATTTTGTAGAGATCCCCTATTGTTCACAAATTGATGTTGAACCTTTTTTCAAACCTCCTTCTTACTCTTAAAAGTCTACCTATAATAAAAGGGAGTTGCATTAACCTATTGAGAATTTCATGGGTTACTTTAAGCTTATACGCATTTCTTTCCCGATATCATCTTCATTTGTAGGTTGCTTGCTTAAACAACCTCTGGCTTTTGGTATATTTTATTGTAACATCTTCAACTTCATGTACATATATGTCATCTTGCATAAGAAAATCCTCATAACCACTACTTCCATGATTTTCAATTTGCCTGTGAGTTTCAACATGTTAAGCTTTAACTATTTCCTGTAAATATACTTCATACTCAACTTGTAAGTCCTATTTATATGAGGTATTGTAACATCCCAATTTTAGGGTTAGTGTTTTTCGTTTGAAATTATATAAGTAGCTAGATTTAAATAACTTAATTAATTAATTGAAAAATGAATCATAATTAAAATAAATGTTTAGAAGATTAAATGTTGAAAAAATTCAACAATTGGAAGTCAAGGACTAAAAGCGCCAAACTAGTGAAAGTGTATTTAACCAAAGGGTTGACTCAT